TGAGGCCTGAAATGGGCGAAGTGAGGTTGAAATGGGGAGATGTGGTTGAAGCAGCAGTAATTTAGTAACTTGATGGGTGAGAATGTTGGGGTAAAAGTGAGCAGGAGGTGAACAGTGGAGAGCTGATAATTGGAGAAGTAGAAGCCGATGCGACGCCAGCATGGGCGTGCCGAGGCGAAGCACGAGCACGGGAAGGCGAGGGAGGGCGCGCCAGAACGACAGGCAGCTGCGAACGCGCGGCCGCGAGCGCCGCCTGCCACCACCAGCGGGAGCGGACGCTTTTGTGGATGCAGAGGTGCGGCGGCCGCTCTCGGCCGAATCGATTCGCGCCACAGCGGAGCGCGCCGGGCGGCAGCGGGCGGCGCGAGGGCGGCGAAGCGACCTCGGCCGGCCCGCGGCGCGGCCGCCCGCGCCCGCCGCTCTGTCATGTGTCTCCTGCCCCGGCGCCTACCACTTACCCGCTCCGCTCCGCTTAGGCCCCGAGAATGCCGCGATGCGCCTAATGTGGAGCTGCGGCTGGCCACGCCCCAAACGGCTCCTTTGAGCCCGAGGCCCGGGCCAACTCCACTCGCGGGAGGTGCCGCCGCGAACAAAAGCGAACGCTACTCCACAGGCAGTTGGCGCTGCTGGCGAAGTGTATGTAGGTCTGTTGTTTAGGAATTTTTGAGTCGATAGTTCAGCTGACTGTGTTCCCGTTGATTGGAACTAATTGGAGGTAAGAGCGAGATGAGGGCGAATATTACGTGTTCTCTTCCCCGTAACCAGCAATATCTGCCTGTTCGAGTTTTGGTTCGTCACACTGCTTCAGAAACACACGAGTTTACCGAAAGCTACCAATCTATGTTTGCCTAAACCGAAATTCGAACGCCGCATCTCACCACAGGAAGCTAGTACACTGCCCATGAGCCATTCCAGAGGCGCTTGCTGTCGATATAATTTACAAATTAATTTATCTCTAGAATTTTTTTTAAAAAATATGAACGAATTGTTTGGGGATGCTTACACCTTCTTACTTTTGCTGCACAACTACAACAATTTTGAAGGAACTGCGCAAATTTATGTTTTCTCCTCCGACCATATCTAGTCCATAAAAATAAATAAACAAATGAGCTACCAAGAATTTCGTAAAGGATGCGTCAAGTATAAAAAGGCTACCGCCAGCAACATCCATTCCATTTATTTTGTAAAAAAATATAATGCAACTATATATAATAACCATTTATTTCAATACTGTTAGAAACAAATCGATGTTACACCCACGAATAGACCATAGATATTTCTCCACTAAATATCGAATCGAAATCACCTTTACCGCTCAAGGCAAATTCTTGAACTATGTAAGGTATAGGTAAACATATTTAAGTACTGTACCATACAGGAAGAGAAACTACTAATATGCACTACATCCTAATCTAAAAGCAATACGTTAAATCAGTCTTGGTTACAAAAAGCAGCGTTTTTCGGCGAGCGGAAGCCGCCGCGAATATTCCGGCGGTGGACCGTCCTTGAGGGAAATAAAACCCGGCAGGGAAGTCTCCGGGAAGACGCACGGGTCGAGGTCGGAGCGAAGACGGAAGTGTGCGGAGGCGGAGCAGGAGAGGCCGGCACAGAGGCGAAAGCGGTGGTGGTGGGGGGCGGTATGGAATCGCTTGATCGATTGCAATAAAGAGCCTTTACGGTGCACAATATCGCCCATCCCCTCCCCCGCCGGCGACGCCTCCGCCTTCGCAAACCCTTTCCCCCCACCCCCGCACCGCGTCAGGGCTGCCAATACAATCAGCCTCCTCATTCACTCGCCGCCGCCGCTTCCTGCCTCACGGGCGCAAAGCGCGTTTGATTCATCAAGCGAGGAACGGCAGGCATTCCTACGAGCTGAATCTCGCCAGGAGACAATAATTGTTTGGCGCAACCGCTTCGCCTGCGAAGCAGCGATATGCCTCGGGTTTGGTGGGGCGTGTATGCTAATGCGTTCCCGTGCATGTAAACACGCATAAATGAAGAAGAATTAAGCGCAAGTGAATGAGCTTTCGTCGTTCTCCAACAGTTTAAGCTCTCGCATAGACACTGTGACCTTCCCTAAAATACACGTGCGTGGATGTTGATATGGTCCTGCTACGTCCCCAAAACAGTAGCGAGTTGTCATTTACAAGATCAATGACACAAAAAATATCCGTCAAATTTATTTAACGATTTCTAACTTCCCCTCCAACTAAGTAATATTAACATTGGCTACATTATAACGTACAGAAATTTATCCTCAGGAATTTTAGTCTCTCCATGAACTAACGCAGAATTGTCCAACGCAATTTATCACATTTAACAACGTGCAAAAGCCCAAACCTCCAAAAGCCAACAAATCGATACTTAGTAAATAATCGACGAACTCTACGAAACACGTCATTATTTCAAGCATCCTTTGCAAGCAGATATTTACGAAATTATCTCATTCATGAAATCATGATAGTGAATCCTATCAATGATTCAGACAGGTTACACAGCCCTAAAATCACGTCATCATTCATTTATTCAAAATACATATCTAAATTCAATTGAATAAATTTTACCACCGATGAACTGTCGAAGACGCCCAATTATCCCGTTTCGGCCCTCCATTTTCCACAGCGTTGACATTGGCTGTTACCACACAAAGTGAAGGCCTACCACAAAGTGCCTTCATCACCATGTTTTACCCGCCGAGACACGCCGGTCCCACTTCCGCCGCTGAACCGCGGGCCC